CTCCTGTCAGGAATAGTAGTGTTATGAAAATTATATATTGTCCTATGTTGACAGTTATATGATAGCTAATTCTGCTAATTCTGCTACTATTGATATGGTTAATTTATAATTCTCTGTAGGTTGATCCTTCCGGTTCATATTTCTCATGGAAAGCCTCTGCAATGGGGAAGAATGTCTCAAACGCAAAAACTTTTCTTGAGAAGAGGTACTCAGACATGTTTTTCTGTTTTCTGGTTGAATAGTCAGACATGGTTTATGCTGAATAAAATTAAAATTTCGGCCTCAATTTCTTTATAGTCCTCAAATGTGAAGTGTGTTTCTTTATTATTCTTTTCTAATAGGTATACTGAAGATATGGAGCTTGATGATGCTGTGCACACGGCTATTTTGACTTTGAAGGAAGGGTATACAACATAACCGTTAACTTCCAGAATTTATGTTTTTATTTTTTCTTTTATACATACGCAATGCTTAGGAGCCACAGAAAGTGGAAGAAACTTTGTTTTATCTGTCAGCGGTATAAGTAGTTGCTTCATATTTGATGCAGATTTGAAGGACAAATCTCAGGGAAAAACATTGAGATTGGGATTATTGGCACAGACAAAAAGTTCAGGTTAAGCTCCATCTTTACTTCCTGCCGAGGCATCTTTGCTCTTAATTCAATTTACTAAATATAGTTTAGATTGCAGAAAATACTTTAGCGAGATATAGGATGCATGTTAGACATACACGTGGCATGCAAAATCCAATGAAAAATAGAAGTATTATGTCAACGCATTAAAGAAGAGAACCCTTCACCTCCCCCTACCCTTGTATAGGTCCAAGGAGCCAGCTTACTCAACTTTAAAGTAGCTAAATGCCAAAGGATTAGCTTTGATTTCACAAAGTTGAAACGGCTATAAAAGAAGGGGTAACTGCATCTGGACTGTGTTTAGACCCAAAACCTTTGTTTTGGTTTGCTACCAAGAGGTCTGGGGTTCGACCCCTCTCAAGGTACCCACCTAGCAATTGTTAGAGTTTCTTGCTTCCCAAATGTTGTGGGGTCAGGCGGGGGGGGGGGCTAGTGATTAGTCGGGGTCAAAGATCTGGAGACACTAGTTTCAAAAGGGAAAAAAAAAAAAAAAAGTACTTGGTATAGACACCGAAGAGATGAACACATTAGGTGTGTGCCAAGCCCGTGACACCGCACAAGTGTCCTTTAATCATAATTGGTACTTATAAATGATTGCTGATTGCCCATCATCGGAGTGTATTTCTAATTAATTTTTATGCTTACCTTGTTGCAGAGTGCTGACCCCAGCAGAGATTGAAGATTATTTGGCTGAGGTTGAGTAGTGTGGCTGTTGCAGCAGAAAATTCAAAAGAAGAAAAACTTTTAAAAGTCCAATTTATGTTGCAAGATGGTTGCGTATTAAGCAAGAACGATTTGGTATATGATTGTGCTGTGAATCTTTAGGAACCGAGTCGCAGACTTCTTGAGCTCAAGCAGCATTGTATTGCCATTATTTGTAGCCTTAAGCCTGACAATTCCTGAGCTCATTGTGAACAGCTTTGAAATTCGTTAACACATTTACTTTGGCCCCAAAATTTGTACAATGCTTATTAACTCTCCATTTATGAATTTAAAGTGGAACTTAATCTGTTGTTGCCATCCTTAATTTTCAAAATGTTACGGGCTGTTTGATAACATTTTCGTTTTCAAAAACCGTACTTGCTATTCCCATTAGCTCATAGCCGAGAACGAATTTACTTCACATTCGCATACATTCCCAAATACTCAAACCAACCTCGGCATTATTTTCTATTTGAACCTGACGTCTCTTCTACCACTAAAATAAGTGTCACTACACTAAGAACTAGTTGGTCAGCGATCCCAAAATGACATTTTCTGTTTAAGAATGGCATATCGTTAACCTAGCACAAGATGAATTAACAGATGGTTAAAATTTGGATTAAAGCTAGGCGGGTAAGTAAGAACAAGAGAGAGAAAAGAAAGATAAGATGTTGTGTTGTCCTTTATATATATAAGGTGTGAGATATTTTGAAAATTCATATGTTTTGTCCTCACCCTTCCTGTATGCCATCAAACACTATCTTCTTCTCACAGAATACCAGACTGGAAGCTCCTCCTCCTCCTCCAATTTCCAAGCGTTCATGTGAGCTCCTTCTCCCTTCACTCACTCTCTGACTCCCGGCTTATGAATGCATACTGTTTCTGTATCATTGGTTTCATGAAGGTAAACAATAACAAACAGACCTCATACTTTTCACTCATTTGCCTTGAAATAATTTAATCTTTACTCATTTCACATGATGATGAGATGAAATTGATTCAAGGCACAATTGTGATTGAGATTGAGACTATAACGAACGAGTCTGTTCTCATATCAGATGCACAAGCTCCGTTTGAAGAGATGAAGCGATTAGGAATAACCCCGACAGAGAAATCCCATATGCTACTTTTATCCGCCTACTCCAAAGCTGGCAACGTAGCTAAATGTGAGGACATTGTTAACGGATGCAAGTGTCCGGGCTGGAGCTAGAGTACACTTTTGTCATCAACAGCATGTTAAATCTGCATGACCGTTTAGGTCAGTTAGAAAAGATGGAGGAAGTTTTGACAGCCATGGAAAAAGGACCTTATGCAGCTGATATCAGTACATACAACATCTTGATTAACATATACGGAAGGGCAGGATTTTTCGACAAGATGGAAGAGCTCTTTCAGTTGCTTCCACTCAAAAACTTGAAATCCGATGTTGTGACATGGACTTCGCGGCTTGGAGCATACGCGAGAAAGAAACCGTACACAAGGTGCTGGGAAATTTTCGAAGAAATGATTGATGCCGGTTGCTATCCAGACGGCGGAGCTGCAAAAGTATTTCTTGGAGCGTGTTCGAGCGATGATCAAACCGAGCAGGTTAGTACTGTTATTAGAACTATGCACAAGATGTCAGGATGTTTTAACTATTTGATGGATGGATTTTGTGTTCAAGATATCACAAAGTAATACATTTTCTGATCCTAACCATCCATCTCTTCATCAAAATCATCAGAAAGCATTAGCCATTAAGGTATGCTCATGGCTAAAATGCTCAAGCTCCATATCTCTCGATGTGACTAAAGATTGCAAGAAAGAAGCTAACATGCACGAACAACTGTTATGTTGTTAAATTGTTATTTCGATCACTCAACCATCTTGGAAGTCTATTATTCCGTCCTTCTCTTGCAATTATGTTCAGTTCACACGAGAGTAAGATTTAAAAAACGCTAAGTGCTAGTTGGGCAGCGGGTAGAGGCCTAACGCCTAGGTGTCATAGATTATAAACTATTAGAACACATTGAAAATATGGAGAACAAGCATATAATAAGTGTTCATCCAAGTATTTAAGAAGTCTCTTACAATTTATTAAAAAAATAAAATACAATATAAAAGTTATCTAATTTTTTGCTAAGTGAGAGTCGCTACCTAGATGAGTGTCTTGGCAGCTCTAGGTGCCCTTATTTAATTTTCAAATGTAGGGATTAATCGGGCAGACAACCAGCCACCTAGTGTCTAAATTGACGGCGCTTGCTGGGAATTTTTAGAATAGCACCTGAGAGTAGCAAGAATTTCACTAAAATGAGTAATAGATCGAATTAACAATCTAACATAACACATACTTAATAGAAAAATTATGGCCTAATTCAACCATAATAAAAAAGAAAAATGATTTTCGCACTCCATCCTCATCTTATATATAAAGCCAACACAAAAGGTAAATAGTGCTTTTGGTCTCACCAAGCTTCAACAAAAATATTTGGACAAAAATGTCCCCAAGACAAAAAACTTCAAAGACATCCCGAAATAATGCATCAAGTAAGGCAAGAGTATTTTCATCATTTTAATAGTATTTTATTAATAATTAATTTTTTGTGCTTTTTTTTTAAATTAGTACCTCACAATAGGCTAGCAATAATATGATTAAATCAGTTGTTCATTTAATATTATTTTCTCTATTTTTAAACACGTTCAAAACATCTTAAGAGGCGTGCAATGCTAGTTAATGCCAGTTATAAAAAAAGGTCTTTCGTACACGGATAATAATTTGACTAAATTAGTTGTCACATGATTTTTTTTTTTTTAACGAACAATATTATCTACACTAAGGGAGAGGGGTGGACTTAAGTTCACAATGGGCTAGCAATAATGTGATTCAATCAATTGTTTATTAAATATTATTTTCTCTATTCTTAAAGTAAATTTTATAGAGACCGATTTTATTATATGGATTCAACTGCTTTAATTGGTTGATGAGGGGTTTCTTCTAGCATGATCTAAGATTATTCATTTACTTTGTTAATTTACGCATATAAATACATTTAAAAAGCATAAATCGCACGTAACCCACTATGATTCAAAAAATATCTTCTACATGTGTTCACGAACGTACATGAAGGCTAGTTAGACATAACAAGCAAGGAAAGTGAACAAAAAGTTTGGTCAGATTGTGGTTTCACATGTAAATTTCCACAACAGAAACAAGTGCTCATATGTCATATCATTGGAGCCTTCCACGAAAACCATGGTCTTACAAAATTTCCATACAACCATGGGACATACAATATAAAATTAATTTATTATAATTAATTAATAATCCGACACTAGCACACTGCCACAACGACACTCACCAACTTCTACCTTATTAGGTTTGTTGATGAATTGACCCACCACCTCGTATCTTCATGTACTTTTCTTTTTCGAAAATATTTTTTCAATATATTTTTGACAACTTTAATAAAAATTTTCAATTTATTTTAATAAAAAATCATACTTTTACATTAAGAAATCAATTATAATACTATTTACTTTACTATTTATTTTGTATTTATCGTTAAAATTTAAAATTTTCAAACTATTTTCCTTAATTTTTCTTATATTATTTATACTTACCATATACTAAAAAATAAAATTAAAAATAATAAAATATATATATATTTTTTTGTAATAATAAAAATAATTAGGGAAAGAGGAAATAAATGAAATAGCACACCCACCAACCCCACTACATAAAAAAAGGAGTGGTTTTTATATTTAAGGAGAGACAGCGTAGTGTTTGTCTTGTGTTGGATTTCACAAATGGCTTCAAGGTTGCTGTGGGCTTCAAGGGCGGCTTCCTACCTCAGAATCCAAACCACCTTCAGAGGATTTGCTTCTGGTAAGCCAACAAAAAACCCACTGACTTCCCACTTTTCTTGGATCATTTTTTTTCATTTTTTCTGATTTGCTTCATTGTTTCTGCAATGATCTTTGAGAAAGATGAATGCTTTTGAACATGGGTTGCTTGTATTTTATTGATTAATCATGGGATTATTGAGAAGTTGGTCTTTTGTAACATGGTTTTGGTGTTGGTGAAGATGTGGATCTCTGTTATGTGTTTGTTGAAATGCCCGATCCATCATGTTGCTATAAAAGATCTGTTTTTTTCCTGATTGGTCGTGTGTGTGTGTGTGTGTGTGTTTTGGCAAATGGTTTGATTTGATGTGGGCTGTGGATTTAGTCTTTCAAGAGGGTAATTGGTTTTTGCGTTTTTTGCATCTGTTGATGTTAGTGTGAGATGTAATGATCTGTGCATTATGATTCAACTGTTGTTTTTGTTTGATTGGAATTGGCTTCAGTTGTGAACTGTGAAGTGCTGTGAAAGTATGGATGATGTTAGGCATATACATTTTCGGGACTTTCATTTCGTTCGTTTGAATTACAAGTTCGCGTCTAGATAAAAATATCCGTTGTATATTATGAATGAGCTAAAAGTTTACTTAGGAGGTAATGGATCTCTGTTTCCTTCTCTCGTTGCAAATCTGCCTGTAAAAACCAATTAAGACATTCTCAGAGTTGGTTTCATGACAAAAAAGAAAGAAAAAAAAAGTATTTTTGTTCTGTTTTTCCCCAATGATTTTATCCGATGAGGTATTCTGTTCTGTGTCAAAGCTCAGAAAGAAGTTGCTATTAGTATTTGATAGATGGAATTATTTAATTAGGTTCCTGTTTGGATTTTCAACTGGTAAATTTTCCGTAGCTTTGTGGTGGTTTCAGATTTTACTTTTCTGTTTACTGCAGTTGTGAAGGATCTCAAGTATGCCGATTCTCATGAGTGGGTGAAAGTTGATGGAAACTCCGCAACTGTTGGAATAACTGATCATGCGCAAGATCACTTAGGTGATGTTGTGTATGTTGAGTTGCCAGAAATGGGGGCTGCTGTGAAGCAGGGCGAAGGCTTTGGAGCAGTCGAAAGTGTCAAGGCAACCAGTGATGTTTACTCTCCTGTGTCAGGAAAAGTGACTGAAGTCAATGAAGAGCTTAGTAACTCCCCTGGTTTGGTAGGTTCCCGTATCCTATGTTATTTCTCTACCATTGGTATAATAATTGCATAAAAACTGACTACCAGGTTTCAGTTGTGAGCTTTTCACTACTTCTGTCACCGTTATTGTTTTAGTATTTTACCTCTTGTAATTCGGGTAAGTTCTTATATCTGAAATAGAGACGTGCTTCAAAATTAACATCACAAATGTTGTTGATGCCCCATCTTTTGTTGAGAAGTCAAGAAACTAAAGATATCTTGCTAAATTTCCTGAAGGATTGAACAAACTTAGTTCTAAATGATTAATCGGTTTTAAGCTTACCTACTCCGCAATATTTGACACAGTCAAGGCTTGAACAAACAGTTGAAGACACTTGCATTCTATTAGGTTTATTTGGATTAAAGTAAAGTTAGTGGTCTTGTGAGAACTTTTTAACTCTCTTTAAGTTTTTTCCAAACTATCAAAAGTCTTCAGCTTTGAAAATTCCCTTAAACTGCTGGAGATTTGCTTACTTCTGTTAAATTATGCATGTGGTACGAGCATTGCATCATTATAGACACATCAGCAAAGATTCCTCACCATTCATCGCTTCTGGTTGTAACGTTTGATTCATTTTTCTGAACAAGGTCAACTCAAGCCCGTATGGGGATGGGTGGATAATGAAAGTCGAGATAAGCGATAGTGGTGAACTGAATAAATTGTTGGACGCGGAAAAGTACACCAAGTTTTGTGAAGAAGAAGATGCACATTGATTGATCCTGGCCAATGGCAGCAGGCGGTTCACCCGGATGAATTGCTTCTGCACAAAATGTAACGGGAGTAGTCAAAACTGCAAATTTACCTCTGTACTTTTATGCAGTGTATTTACTTCGCTTTTGTTCCGCATGAGTAATCAATTTTAAAGGGATCGTTGTTTCAATCTGGATAATGAATGATAAGTTTTGTCGTTCTTTTATTCGGTCTGCCCTTCGGTGTTGTAGCAGATCTGGAATTTTGTTAAATGTTCTTTACCGAAAATGAAGTGCCACAAATTGAAGACAAATAATTTCAAACATACTGTTTTTGGAAGCCAATTGCAAATTTGAATACATTTTTTTCGGCGTTAAGCTACAGATGAGATGATAGATTCAGTGAGCAGTGAAATCTGTTTGATGAATTTGAGTCACATCTTTTCACACAATGGTGGGCAAGATCCAGATCGATGGTGTCCTGTTCCCCTTTGGACGATCAATGCAGTACTGGTGCGTTTCTGTTCTTCTGTTTTCCAAGTTGAAGGCACCCATGTGAAGAGGCCCTTGAGGTTCTTCATTAAGATGACCTGTCCAGTCATCAGCGACGAAGTATATGCAGTTCGGCTGACATCCAGGGAAATCTAAAGCAGACACACGCATGGATGCATTGTAATCCAAAAACAAAGCATCATTTCCAATACTCTCAATCTCCTCCACTTGTTCTGGTCTATCCCCGCAAGCACATTCCACCCTATAAACCTTGAAGCTCTGAGTCATCTTACCAAACCAAAAATCAAACACATCAAGCTTCCGGATGAGCAATAGTTCTCCACTGGACGATTCGACAAGGGTTGCTCCTCCTTGTGGAGCATGTTTTACAACTAGGATTATATCGGGTTTAGCAGTCGAGCCACTGCTGGTGTCAATCGAAAAAACCAGACCGTCATAACTAACAACCAGAAACCGGCCTTCATGGTAAATTAAATCGCAAAATCCGATCACAGTACGTATGACTATGTGACTCCAACCGTCATCCCCCGACTTCAAATGGGCTATTTTGTGTCCAGCATGATCATAGAGTACCAGAACTTCATAATCATTTGGAAACAAACAAGGGTCAGCGGATAATACAACTTTGTTAATGTAGTACTCACATTTGAATGTTTCTGCCTGCGGTGGGACTTCCGTGACTGGTGGAAGGCGAATGGTACGTCCGGTGAAGGGGTTTAAGAGCGTTATTGCCAAATTGTCATCCGCACAAGCCAGCCAACCATGGGAAGAACCGCAACACCTCTTCTTGTACGGCACATACAACTCAAAGTTGTAAGGCTTCCGTTGCGTGACACCATACAAGCCACGCCTTCCGCCGCTGTTGTGTTTGGTAGGAATCATGAGCATAGGGAGCTGGTTGTGATGTGATTTGACGCGCTGCTGCTTGTGATGCAAAGCTAATGATTTCCAATGCTTGCAGACCGCGCTAAACCGGATATGGTCAGAGATTGGTATCAGCTTTTCTAGTATCGAATCCAGAAGGAGGTTCGGGAGCCATGCCCAGCCTAAATCCGAGGGCATCGGTGTATCTTCCAGAGTGGTAGACATAACTTTTTGAGGCTTGGATTTCGAATCTTCGATCATTGACTACTTATGAGGTATGAGGAAGCGGCTTTTCTTAGTAGGCTATGAATTCCTTAGGCGTGATCGACATTGTTGAATTGTAATTCTCGTTGGTTACAAGGTGGAAATTCTCTCATTTCAGCAAAACCAATGTGAAAGGTTATGACTTTTTCTCCTTGTATGGTTCAACATGGCCAAATTCTTAATACAAAGGAGAGTCATTGATAAAATTAATCGAAAAACGCCAACCTCCCGACTAGCATGACACACAGATTGCAAAGTCTTTGAAGCTCGAGGAGTTAAGTGTGTTTACTCTTGCAGCCGAGGTTTTGTGTTCATATTTTCCTCCCCCAATATCGTTTGTATAAGAAAAAAAAAAACATAACAAACTATTAACATAAGCTTACAATTAGAATCACAAATGAAATATAGAGCTTCAAATTATTCTATCATATGGAAGAGCTTGAAGTTATTCTGTCATACAAAACATCGTTTTCACACCATGGTGGGCAAAATCCAAATAGATGGTGGCATGTTCTTCTGCGAACGGCTTAAGCAGTAGTAACGTGTTCCAAATCTTCTGTTTTCCAAATTGAAAACTGCCATGTCAAGATGTCCTTGAGCTTCTACTCCCACCCAATCATCAATGCAGAAGTATATGGAATTCGGCTGACATCCTGGAAAGTTTGAAGCAGAGACACACATGGACTGGTTGTCACCTATGAAAAAAGCATCATCTCCAATACTCTCAATCTCCCGGATCCATTCGGGTCCAGTTCTACCCCCGGAAGCACTGAACAGATTGAAAACCTGGAAGCTAAAGTTTTCAATGAAACACTCACTGTAATTCAAACTTTGGAACTTCCTAACCAGCAAAAGATCTCCCTGGGACGATTCCACAAGGTATGCTTTGTCATCAATACTTGGAACTATTGGTAAAACTATGCTTACATGAGGCTTATGAGTTGAGCCATTGCTAACGTTAATCGAAAAAACTCCACCCTCCCGACTAACAGCAAGAAACTGGTCTCTATAGTGTAGTACATCATCGAATCCTATTATTTGATGCAGACCATAAAAATATCTGATTGTTTGATCTATGTGAGTCCAAGCATTGTCCCCTGACTTGATATGAGCCATTCTGGTTCCATTACAATCGAAAAGTGCCACAACCCCGTAATCATTTGGACACAAAGAAGGGTCTGCAGACAATACAACCTTCTTAATGTAGTGATCTCTTCTATAAGCATGTTTGCGTATGTCCTGGGGGACTTCGGTTAGTGGTGGAAGGAGAATGGTATGTTTGGTAAAAGGGTTGAAGAGATTTACCCCGAAATTGTCATTCACACAAGCCAACCAACCGTGGGAAGAACCGCAGCACCTGTTGTTGTACGGTACATACAACTCAAAGCCACAATTCTTACCATGCGTGACACTATACAAGCCACGCCTATCGTTGATGTTGTCTTTGCTGGGAATAATCAGCATTGGAAGCTGTTGTTGACGTGATTTGAGGCGCCGCTGCTTCTGAAGCAAAGCGACTGATTGCCAATGCTTACAAACTGCACCAAACCGGATATAGTCAGAGGTTGGTATCAACTTTTGTACAATCAAATATAGAAGGTCGCTCGGGAGCCATGCCCAGTCTGAAACAAAAGTTGATGATATCGCGTCTTCCATAGTGCTCGATATAGCTTTTTGAGGCCTTAGCTGGATGGGGCTTGATTGTCAATTTATGATGAACCAGGAGATAGGTTTCTCTTAAGCCATGGATTCCTTACGCATGAACATTGTTGAATTGCCCTCCTGTAATCTTGTGGATATTCCCCTTTCAGGCAAAACCGATAAAAAAAGAAATGAAATGGTCAAATTTGATTGGAATTGGCTCCAAAAGTAATAAGCAGGCGCAGGCATAAAACATACACAATTTTTGGCTAACACTGCATTAGGTTGGACAAAGGCATCATTTGCCTACCAAAGCTCCCCCAAGACAGGATGAGATCCAGTTTCTGTCATCATACAGAACAAGTGGCACTATGTTGTCTCGAATCAATATCCCGAAAGTTGGCACTTCTGTCGACAGAGAATTTCTTTCTGTGTAAACATAGTAAACCTTAATTAAAAGAACACCTTGTCGACAAAGGCATCATTTGCCGACCAAAGCTTCCCACAAGACGGGATGAAATTTTTTGTGCAAATATTGTAAACCTTACAATAACACTGTTTATAGCCTTTATTTCCGGAATGTTTGCTGACTAAATTTATACAGTCGATGTTCGAATATAATGAACTGGATGAAAATTAATTCTGCATCTCAAATTTCTTATCAAGGTATATCCTGTTGTGATTGGCTCATATTATGAGTTGGCAACAATTTCATCTCAACCATGTGGAGATTGTTGGAGTTTGTGGCCAAGTGAACTATCCTCCAAAATACCTTTTGGCTAAAGAAAGAAAGTTGGAACATCTTTCCTTGGTTTTGGGGAAGAAAATATGGGTTGCTTTTTCTTTTGTCTACCACCCGTGAGTTTTGGCTAAAAGAAAAAGAAAAGTTGCTTTAAGAAAGGGAGCTCATTAGTCGGTTTTGAAGGAGAACAAGAGACAAGTGAGAGAGCTCATTTCGGGTGGAGAAGGAGAGAGAGAAGGCGGGGCCTTTTGTTTATATTAAGGCATTTGGTTATGCCTTTGTGATGAGTGTCGAGAGAGCATCCAAGGTGAAGAGCATTCGGCTCTCCCATGAAAAAGGTTGAACATGGGTTGAGAGAAAATCAAGAGAGCTAGAGTGAAAAGTATTCTAGTGAAAGAACTCTTGGGGTAGAGTGAGGCTCTTGGGAAAATTCTGTGAGTGGGTGTACAAGGGATATGGGATTGGGTTATGTCGATTTGACTCATGTGTAACTTGTACTGTTTTTCTCATAGTGAAGAGCAATATCTCTCCGAGGACGTATGTAGTTTTTTGCCGAACCTCGTAAATTTCTCTGTGTCTTTATTTCTTGTACTTTATTTTGTTCAACTGTGTGTGTTTTTTGGTGAGGTTGTAATCTGAATCTCGGTTCCGCACTAACGAACGGGCCAAGACACAACATATCCCTCCGGCCACATGGGAATGCTCGTCATGTTTAATATCGGAAAAGTTAAGTTTTCCCCCTTAAATTTGCTACTGTGTATTGTCTCCTACTTTCCTCTGCAGTACTGTGTTTAAAGTACCAAATATTGTTTTGTCATCAAACTTTTCTGTAGTTAAGTATTCATACTTCATATTATTATTACCATCTTCAAAGGTATGCACATTGGAAGCTCAGCGTCCTTATCCGACATTTGAGGCTTACATTTACGATTGCAAACAAAGGAAAGTACAGCTTCAAATTATTCTATCAAATGAAAGTACAGCTTCAAATTATTCTATCAAATGGAAATTATTTTTCTTGAAAACAATTTCCTTTAAAACTCAAAAACTTGTTTGGTATGCGATTTAAAAATTTTAAATTTTACAACTTAAACTGGACAAAGAGATCTAAAAATAGAGGGTTGAGAGAGAAAGAGGAGAGAAGAGGAAAGAAAGTAAAAGATAATTGGAGAAAAGAGAAAGAAGTGAGAGGAAGAGGAGTGGTAGAAAAAACCGAGAAAATAATGAGAGCGGATTGGAGGAGAGACAAAAAAGGTAAAAAAAAAATGAAGGAGAAGGGTAGAGAGATAGCTTTGGAGTGAGAGGGGAGGAGGGAGAAAAAAAAAATGAGTAAGTTTAAGTTTAAAAACTCTAAAAACTCATTTTTTGTGTTTTTAAAGAATATACTATATTTTTGAGTTAATCTTGAGTTCATTTTTTAAAAATAATAATACCAAACAAGTTTTTAAAGCCTAAAACTTAAAAATTGTTTTTGAGTTTAAATAATTGGATTCAAATAAAATACCAAACATACTCTGAGTTTTGTCGTGAGACTTTTAGCTCCTAGATAAATGAAAGAACAGTATCAAATCAGTAGAAATGAAATGTGGCTGATGAATGCTGAAGTTCAACTCAGTTAATCCTGAGTGAGTTGTACGTGTTTTATTTACAAGGTATTACATACATCAATCAGTGCAAGTAGTCTTATCTCCAGTAACAAAATTACAAACTGAAAATACATGAGATTATAGCAAGGAATTATCTGTTGAAGAGTAGGAGATAATCCCAACTCTTCCAGCGTATTCGAACAGGATAATGCAATAGTGGTGAGCGACAAACTGTTGAAAGTGATTTCAAAATGTTCATGGCTTATCAGTGCAGGAGTGACCTTTGTGTTTTCCAGTAAGGTTTTAATCTCTTCAAACAAGGGGTGGCCTTCATAGATTTTGAGGTAAATAGAAGCCAAAGTTTTGAAACCCTCGTACGTGCATTAAGAGGTGTGGATGTGCAATGTGCATAGCTTGCTCTCGTGATTGGTAGTGAACACAACGGTCCTCTCTTCTTCAAAACTTGGCGACAGCCCATCTGTGAAGTTTAGTAGATCGGATAGGGTAAGCTGCGCACAAAAAGAAATCAGACATGCAGTTAAAACATCAAATTTAAAGCTTCATATACCTAATGGAATCTGCCCAAATTGAGTAATCATTTTATGACCGCAAATGCCAAAGCATTATAACCAAATCTCTTATGGCAGAATACTAACCTGACCACCTTCTGACCAGTTTTTGTGCTTATATTTTATGTCCTCAGTGCCAAGAATCGACTTATTTGTTGTTGCCAGCAACACTTATCTCAATTACAAATCAGTTTTCAAATGTGAGAGATGCAAATCGTAGACTTCGAACTTGAGGTAATTAGCCATCGCAGCTACTAGGGGCGATTTTTCAGTGCCTGGAGGACCATATAGAAGGTACCCTTGCTTCCAAGCCCATCCCACCCTTTGGTAGTACTCTTTGCTCTCAACATACATGTCCAAGTCCTCCAAAACCATTCTTTTCTGTTCCGGATCCATGGCTAGAAAATGCTGTGTTTCAAGTACACCAGATGATTAAGCCTTTCAATTGGAAGAAGAAGATGATAATGCTACTTTGTCTCATTTTTCTTTTGTTACTTGTGCATACACGCGTGTATTTGAAAGATTGATGACGAGCCATTTTTAATTAGGTTGGATTGTAATTGTATTTTTGTTTTTCTACAGTAGTATATACGGATTTACACTTGGATACATGAAAGGGTGGTAATTTAAAATCACATTTAAACTCAATTGAGATCTTAGAAGCTTGTTAATTGGGTTGGAATATGTATTGATAGATTATTTTTTGATTCAGAACCACAGATAGGTCTGTTCTACTTATGCATGCAGCAACTATATTAATAAATTTCTTAACATTTCCTTTTTAAATAACAAGTTGGAATGCCTTCATTTGGAACTTCATTGAACAAGGGCACGTGAAAATTGGTAGCGTAATCAAAGTAGGCAAGTGGTGGATTGCTCTGGTGGTTAAAGATGTCCTCTTCACCCACAGCACCTCGAGCTCAAATCCTAAAGGATGTGGCTTAGACATGGATCAGTTTTGCGGCGTTCATTCTTATCTCTAGGGCATGAAAACAAAAGATGAATCCCTTGACCCTTATCAAATAAAGTACGTTAATTGTTTATGATCATTATCATCGTCATCATCCTCATATTCATCTTTCACACTGTTCTTCTTTTCCTTTAGAAATGTAACGAGGCCTTGGAGTGCAACTTCAGCCTCCTCACTCTTCATTAGCTCCTCTGCCACTTGTGCAGGCGTGGCCTTTGTTTTCTGCAGTAGGGTTTCAATCTTCTCATACAAAGGGTGGGTTCCACAGATTTTGAGATAATTGCAAGCAAGCGTTTTGAAGCCCTCGTACGTGCAAAACGACATGTGGATGTGCATGTCCATTCGTCCAGAACGAAGCAATGCAGAGTCGAGCTTGCTCTTGTGATTGGTAGTGAATACAATGATTCTCTCTTCTCCACAACTAGACCACAGCCCATCTGTGAAGTTTAGTAGTCCGGATAGGGTAAGCTGTGCACAAAAGCAAAAGGAATCATATGAAAAGCGCTTTCAGACGCAAAAAAATAAGAATATCTTCTTGACCATTAGATTTGACTTTATTGAAATTTTGTGTCTGAGATTAAATCGCAAGCCACAGAATCTCAACCACTTGATTTCATTAAAACCAAATCTAACGGTTAAGAAGATGACCCCATTTTTTTTTAAATGAGGATCACTTCCCTTAAAGACTTCCTATATATATATATATATGATGCATGTTATAAAACATTGTACTGATTATAAAAGTCATCCCGAATATAAAACATTGTACCGAGTTTTGGTGAACTTGTTTTATACTATGGGTAGGTTTGATATATATGGAATAAGTGCAGCCCTCCCACTTGGAACAGATTTTATACACTTAAGCTTTAAAACTTTAAGCAATCGGATAATTGATCATAATTTATATCAAGCCAACACAATAAACCACATCGGAACAATATCTCTAATTTTATGACCTCAAATGCTAAATCACTTGCATATCTTTTGATGAAGATAAAACTTGTAAAATATTACGCTCTAAAAGTTTTAAAACAGCGTTAGACAACTACTAAACTCTAAAAATTTAATCAATCGGATAATTGACCACCAATTTATATAAGCTAACACGATAAACCACAACTACTGAGCAATATCTTATTTTATGACCTCAAATACTAAATTATCATTTGCAATATCTTATTTTACGAACCTGGTTGCCTTCAAACTCGGGCTTTTTTATGCCATAATTATTTTGTTTCCGATCTTGAACCGCCGGCTGACTACAATCGATGTCCTCAATCACAAGGATTGACTTATTTGTTGTTGCCAGCAACACCTTTCTCAATTCCATATCCGTTTTCAAATGTGTAAGTTGCAAATCATAGACATCAAACTTGAGGTAATTAGCCATGGCAGCTATCAGGGACGACTTTCCAGTTCCTGGAGGACCATATAGAAGATACCCTCTCTTCCAAGCTCTTCCCACTCTTTGGTAGAACTCCTTCCTCTTCACAAATCTGTCCAAGTCCTCCACAACCGCAGTCTTCAGCTCCGGGTCCATGGCCACTGTCTCGAACGTTGCCGGGTGTTCGAGATTGATTGCCTCCCATCTGATCTTAAAAGCATCTAACCTCACAAGTGTATGCAGCTTCACAACTTTGCCTTCATCTTTCATAGCCTTGAATCTCTCCATAACATAAGGCAAGTAAGAATTCATGACCTTTTCCTTGTGTCGCAAGTCAAACACGAGTTCAAAGTATTGTTTTTTCTCTGGAACATTGTTATTTGATGAAGAAGAAGTTGGATTGTACTTGAAATTCTTGGAAACGGAAATGAACTTCCATTTCAGCTGGATCCCTTCGTACAAGTCATCAAACTCTTGGTTGTTCGAAAACTGGACGGTGAAATTAGTCTCTTTACGAGCTTGCGAAACTTTGAGAAGCCGAGCTGAAGGGCTGATCTTGTCTTTCAAGTAAAGATCTAACGCATCGTAGACTTTGTTACGCGTGCTCGTGCCGTGGTACTCTTCGATCTGCAGCGTCACGGGTTTTGATAAGAAACGTATGAAGAATCCGTCGACTACCGACACGAGAAATCGTTTCGTGGGCAGTAAGCAGCACTCCATGGCCTTGGACCAAACAAGGATCAGATAAGCAACCATACTGGAAGGACATGCTGGAGTTACCTTCATCATACGATCCATGTTAACAAAATCTGCAAAAATGTGGAAATTAAACCCCAAAATAAACCTGAATTATTCAATTAAACCTCATGATTTCGAATATAAATTTTTTTTTACAGTAAACCTAAATTATAGAAATCATCAAGAGAGGAGGAGATAATACCTGAGTGATCGAGTCTTGCTCATCAACTGAGTTAAAGAAGAACATAAGTCAAGAAGTCGTCTTAGTCAATGGGAAGTTTGAAGTCTTCGTCGATGATTACGTTCTACCTAATACCATTTGGAAAACTGACAAAAAAAAGAAGAAAAAAAAAAAAAACAACCATTTGATAAAGGAAACACCATGGTCCCACTACTAGTCTATGAGATGTGAACTTTGATTTTTTTTTTTAAATAAAGAGTCACAACGAACCGTCGAGATTTCTTAAAAAAATATTATTATAATGCAAGATTATCAATTTTGTTAAACAATTCTTGTTGTCGCTCACTAGAAGAATATGCAACCAACTCAGAAAACGATAAATAGAAACAAAGAAAACACCTAAAACCGACTGCAAAATCAACGCAAATAAAAGTTGAGCCATTGGCTTTGCTCGGAGCTTTTGGAAATGTCCACGATGAAGATGTCATGGACAATGAATAATATTTTAGGATGTGTTATCCACACAATCTATTTTACTTCTCACATACCCTTGATAATTTATGTTCGTTGATCTTCTTCCATTCATCTGATCCGACGGCCGAAAGTTAAAAAAATGTGTGAGAAGTAAAATGGGGTGTGTGGATGTCACATCCTAATATTTCATGCATGTGTGACCTCATTACAAAAAGAGAGGACTTGCATGAGAAGAATTCATCGTCACTCATGCTAATTATGTAAAAACATGTATTAACCTTTTTCCACATGTTCTTGTGTTATCGGCACCGGACATCACTGTAGCGGTAAATCCGTGTGTATGTAATTGTTTACATTGCATGTATATAATTCTTGTATTTTCTTCTTTCTTGATTGAATTATTTGCTCCTGGTACGATCCAATGGTGAATTTGCATTTGAAGGAAATTGTTATGTATATAAACTTAATATATTCTAATCGAAATACTTACTTGTAAAATTAAAACATTGACAAGTCCCCCTATTTCACTGTCAAAAACTTTTATGACTAAAAATATAGGAAAACTAATGAAAATGGCTTGAAAATTTTGATTTTTAATGATAAAGATAAAATAAAGGGTAAAATGAAGTACGATGATTGATTTTTTAGTTTAAAAATATAATTTTTCGTTAATGTGAACAGTACCAAGAGTTTTTCGCTAAAATTCCCTATAAATATTGGAAGCAACTGAGTGCGCCACTCCATTACAAACACGAGAGTTGTAAAAAACTACCAAATTTTGGCTGGTAGTCTCTCAAAATAGTAATGTCCACTGAAGTGAAAACTTTGTAGCTTTTGTCAAAAACTGTTTCTTTGAGATTAATTTCTTATCTTTGCGTCTAATGGTTATAAGCAAAATTGACAGGTAATCTCCATCCCTTATCTAAAAGAGGAAGTTAGCATTCCTTCAATTCAAGAAATTTTTCATTGTGTCCGAAACACAGATGGATACGTATCATTATATAAGTAGAGAAAAGGCTCTTTTTTTTTTTTTTTTTTTTTCAAGTTGTTAATTTTTTAACATAATTATCTAAACACTTATACTAACACGTCACATGCAATGTACCGCCGTATGCTCCGGGCATATACTAAAAAATCTCTCCAAGTTTCAACCCACCCTCCCCCTTGACGATTGCCGTAGCATTTTTGGAACCCAAATTGGCTCGGACCCATGATCATTCAAGGTCCAAATATAATTCGGACCCATAAAAAGCTACATTTAGCTTGATCAATTTTGCTTTTTGAGTCCCACCCAATCAATAAACTTCAAAATCGGCCCAACCCGACCCATTTTATCATGCCAATCAGTTGATCTCGAAGTCATACCGCTCCATTTGTGACGTCAGCATAGCCCAAGCATACGGTATAGCAATATAGTTAGCTTACCTGCGAACTAATCCCAATTAGACAACTTAATTACCATCATAATATTGACGGCCGTAAAGATAATCATGATTATTGGAATAAATCTTTGGATTATTATAGCCGATTTTTGCAGCTTTTGCAGCTTTTGCGTCCAGCAATAATCTCTCACAATTCCCACTAATTTTGAAGGAAATAAAAAAAATGATAATTAGAAAACAATGATGGTTGCTTAACGTCCAAGGCAAGTATGTCTTCCACCTCATAAAACAAGGAGTGCATCCTTCTAATATACGCACAAGGCACTAACACACAGCTAGAAAGATGAACAAGTCCACAAACATACATCTTGTGAGCCAAACTATCCATATAAATATCTAACAAACTTTAATATGTAGCAGCATCATGTGTGCCACTAATTAAGATCTATAGGTATAATCATATTTATCATCTTAATATTTATGTATATAAATAATGTAAAAATTTAATATGTAGCAAAATTTTAATATTGTCATATTCTTGCCTATAATGTAATAATTATAATTTCAAAGAACTTCAAAATAATTTTGTAACAAGTTATTTTCAATCGTGTGAGAATGTTTGGGCGCAATTTATTTCGCGTCATTTATTCAATATTCATATTTGTAAATTGTAGTTAAGTTGTCGTCGTGAGTTTGTTTTCTAGTTCTTATTTTCTTGTAAAAGAAACACAAATTATTATATGACTTCATCTATTTAAATAGGGAGATGTATCTTTAGAATAAGATTATCGAAGACAATTCAAATCAACATAGCGTAGTGCTGATTATGAACGTATATCAACATAACCACGCATTCCAAAATTTATGATGCCATTGTACATCTCTAAAATGTCATGTTGCACCTTGAATTTAATATAACTTTTCTATTAGTTTAAAAAAAAAACAAAAAAATCGAGCTAGAGTTAACTAATATTTAATCCAAGGAAAGAAAAGACATGATTTTTTAATTGTAAGATCGACATTGGGAAATTAAAGATTTGTGTGAAGTAATGCAAGAGAAAAACATCATTAATCACTTGAGTTTCAAACCTTGTATATAAATTGTCACGACTTAAAAAATGTCATTGCCGAGAACAAATTAAAAAAAAAAAATGTATAAAGAGAAGCGAAAAACAATGACCCCAAAATTTCTTTTACCCCTGCTATTATCCCTATAATAATTTGTCTTTTATATGATATTTGGTACCTTCAAGTTGTAAGGAATCTGTGAAGTTCGTGTTTTCTCGTAAGGAGAATAATCGAATGGCGCATGCTATGACATCTTTCGTTCAATTCGTAGAACGCATAAATGAGATTGTATAAGTCTTGATTTCCTTTTTATTATTCTGGCTAAAGAAATTCTATTTTTGAATTTTGACAACAAAAAAAAAAAAAAAAGAGAAGAGGAAAGAAAAGAAACCGAGCACGCCTGTCTTAAATAAATAATTACTTGCTAATTAAAAAATTAATCATTTTTTTAATTAAATAAATATATTAAACCAAATTCCCAGCTCTCCCTCTAGCACTAGACCAACCGCTCCTCGCTCTCCAAACTGCATTCAGTCTCGTAGAGGAGGAGAGCTGCTTCTCAAATCGCAATTCACAGCAGAGAGACGGTCAGATCTGAGCTCCCGATGATCTTCGCCTTCCTCCACCTGCTCTGCCTTTCAAGTTCGCAGCTTTAACTTGTATGCTAGTATGCTACTCTCTCTCTCTCTCTCTCTCTCTCTCTCTGTATTTGCTCTGTTTGGCTGCCGAGAAAATGCTGGAAAGAAAAAAGGGGAACACAGTCTGCAAACTACAAGTGCATTGACAATGCCCTTGAGTTGAGTGTGCGATCTCCTCTCATTTTCCGAGCAGGCCAAAAGCGGAATTTTTCATTTGCAGTTTTGTGATTCATGTGCTTGATATAGTGTCTGTTTGGTTACAATGGCTAAATGTTCTACATTTCGGGAAATTGTTGTCGCTTTACTAATTTGCTAGCTTAAACTCAATTATTTGGAGGGTTTTGGCTGCTGGTGTATCGAAAAGGAAATAGTCGAGTGCTAGAGGTTTTCTTATTTTGTTGAAGTCTGTTAATCTTTCAATCGGAGCTTTTATTCGTTGCAAAATGAAATATGGAATGGAACCATTCTGCAAGAGCAAGCAATAAAGCTTTGTGGTGAACGAAAATTTAATGCTTTAGTACTAAGGAGCTGGAAAGCGGTATTGTTTGAAATGAAAGGAAGATTCTGCCCCTCATTTTGTTGCCCGGAACGTACGAAGAAAATGAATGAAAATGAATGTTAAGTTTCTTTTTCAAATTTTGTTACTTTATTTGTTTATTTTTGTCAATTCATGAAAGGATATGTAGAGCAGGAGAAATTCTAAGAAACAAATAGTAGTTTCACGGTCCATTTGGAGAGATTGATTCCAAAGTTAGGATTTAGTTAACATTGCTTAGTTAAATTATTTGGTTACTCTTTCTATCCCCATATTTCACGGTCCATTTGTTTATTTTTGTCAATTCATATACTCATTTCAAATACATATCAAACAAATTAAATTTGGTTATCTTAAATGTATTCAATGAACTAATTATTTGTAGTTTTTCCTGACTAATTTAACATAGATATCAAGTTTAAATCCTTTCTTATTCTTTATAATATTTTGACTTTAAACCAAAACATGAAATGCAGTTTTGTTCTGATTACTCACCAATGGCAAAATCAAGGCAACATTTCTCTAGCCAAGATTCATCACTGTCCCCAACTTCTGTGCGATCCCAAGAATGGGAGGGTCCATCAAGATGGACTGAATATTTGGGTCCAGAGACAACTTCTCCAATGAATTCGAGGAGCTCCAGGAATTCAGGTCCTGATGAACAGGTCCACAGTTCAGGCGGGTCCCACAAAGGCTTGAACATCCAGTGGGTAGTTCAAGTAACTGAAGTGGCAGAAGGTCTTATGGCTAAAATGTATAGGCTGAACCAAATTTTGGATTACCCGGATCCAGTTGGCCATGTATTTTCAGAAGCATTTTGGAAAGCCGGTGTGTTCCCCAACCATCCAAGAATTTGCTTGTTACTCTCAAAGAAGTTCCCTGAACATTATAGCAAACTACAGCTTGAACGCGTAAGAGTGGATTTATTTTCATTTAAATATTAGATATTCTTTTGTTAGTTAGTGTTACTTTGCTAATTGAATATTGATAATATAGAAAAATATTGATGCAGGTTGATAAGGTTTCTTGGGATGCCTTGCAAGACAATGCAGAACTTCATTTACAAAGCTTGGAACCATGGATCCAGGTATGAATTTAGTATTTTTATTTGCTTCAATTCCTCCATTACCTCCATATTCTATAAAAAGCTTTTGCAGAACTATTAGTTTCCAGTGCATATGTTTTTGGCGATTGACTAAGTTGATGGTAGGTATCACCACAAAGGCGTTAGGTATCAACAATTATTGATGCTGAAGGGCTAAAACCTAATTCTTAATTTGTTGCAAGTTTATCAACAACAGTTTCATGAATGGTTAGTGCAGGAGCTATTGCACAAACAGTTGAAATCATTTATTCTTGTTGGGTGGTGGTGCTTTTGATTTGAGAGATGGTCTGCAAATCGCTGGCTTGCTTCCTATTATAGATTTACTTCGACCACATGTTAGATGCAATAAAATAATAGTTTTTCTTTTTCATGAATCAGCTGCTTGTTGATTTGATGGCATTCCGAGAACAAGCTCTACGACTCATATTGGATCTGAGCAGCATAGTTATTACCTTGTTGGTGAGTCTCATTATCACTTATTTTACCTCTATGAATTATAGGCTTTGGGTGGAACAATGATATTGACATTGTTTTCCCTTTCAAGTTTTAACCCTAGACACCGTGCCAAACAAATTGATCTCCAGAAGGATAGGATTGATGCTAAATAGTTATGGTTTTCTGATATCTCTGTCTAATACCCTCACTGATACACGTTGAAGATTGAAAAAGTTGAACAAACCTTGTTTCTTGTTATGTAAGCAAATGGGAGTGTGTAGTGTACAGCAGGGTAGTCTAATTAGTAAGTGTCACGATTCCTGTGGAAACAGATGCATAGTGCTTGTTAGAAGTAGCCGTATGTAAATATAGGTTTGTAGTCAGAAATATTTAAGCTCTGCTTCTCAATGTCTATCTTACACCTTTTTGGCTAACAAATGCAATGTTTCATGTAACTGATTTGATGACATGCAGCAAGGATATGAATTGACAAAAAGCTTCCCACTATATGCATTTGAGTTTTTTAACAAGTGAACAAGTAAATTAAGGTCACATCTCACATTTTACATGGGAGTTTGACAAAATAAACTCAATGCTTGCATTATTCCTTGGATGAAAAGGATTTTACATGGTATCTCTAATAACTTTGCGCGGTATTTTGCAGCCCCATCAGAACTCACTTATACTACATGCATTTATGGATCTCTTTTGTTCCTTTGTCCGCGTGAACCTTTTCTCAGAGAAGGTTAGCTAATTTCCATTCTTCTTCCTTTTTTTTTTTTTTTTCTCAGTATTGTTTACTGTCCATTTTTTGAGTCTTAATTGGTTTATCTTAACTGGACATGCGTATAGTTAGAAATACGTGTAAACATATTACATGCATATATTTGCTGTTTTGCTAACACTATGCTTATAACAGATGCCAAGGAAAATGATGCTACAAATGTATAACCTTTTGCATTCCATGTCAAGAGACCGAGATTGTGATTTTTATCATCGGTAGGAACTATTTTTAGTTACAAGTTACTTGTTTTTGTTGCATATCGTTATCATTCATTTTGTTTGATGATTATTCTACTTCCTCTGTTAGAGTATCAGAAAATGTTTAAAAGGAATTCTTGAAATGACTCCATGAACCCGTGGTTAGTGATTATGGGGTCTTCTGCATAACTGAGTATATGGAACTTCAGAGTATTACATTGTTATATTTAGGCATGAATAGGTAGATCTGGTATACCATGTATCATTACATAACCAGAGAACAAAACTCTTTCTTTTTTATTCTTAGAACTTGTGCTTCACTTGTAGCTGTAGCACATCTTTTATTTGCCCCCCAATTAGGCTTGTAAATGAACCGAGTGATTTGCCACCTGTTCATGAGTCAGTTGATCTGAGGCTCAACATGAAGGCTCGTGGCAAGCTTGGGCTCTATTGAGATCATTGTTGACTCAGCTTGATTGCAGCTCTACCCCCAATATGATAGTTCTCTTAATGGGAAATCTCTGTTCTTATTGTTCATGCTTAAAACTTCAGGCTTCATGTTTTTTTCTGATGATAATAGGTTGGTTCAGTTTATAGACAGTTATGATCCACCGCTGAAAGGATTAAAAGAAGACCTAAATTTTGTGAGCCCACGTATTGGAGAGGTTAGTTTCTGCTTTAATTTATCACTGGTTTTGATAATTATGTTTTTGTGGCCGGGGAAGAAAGAGGAGGTCCCACGTTTCCCCCCTTCCCAAACGTCATAATTTATAACAAAAAAGTGTAATTAATAAGTCTAGCACAAACGATTTTATTGCCATTAAATTTCACTTTTCCTTTCCAGGTGCTAGAGGCTGTGGGACCTATCATTTTTCTGTCAACAGATACAAGAAAGCTCAGAAATGAAGGTTTTTTAAGTCCATATCATCCTCGATATCCAGACATACTTACAAATTCTGCTCACCCAATGGTAAGACATTGACAACCTGAATGTTTTCTTAGAGTATTGGTATTGCAAACTGCATTATATGGTTAATGTTATGTTCCATTTCCAGAGAGCTCAGGATCTAGCAAATGTCACCTCTTATCGTGAATGGGTATTATTTGGGTATCTTGTTTGTCCTGATGAGCTTCTTCGAGTTACTAGCATTGACATTGCTCTGGTAAACCTTACACTGTTTCATTTCTAATTTTTCTTGCCAATTTTAATATTCAATAGAATTGAGCATATCTTAAGTGAAAGGGAAGATATGCATATTTGGGCATTTGTTTTAGGAATTTTCTTTAGACAGTATGTGCTTGTTGTTATATTTTCATGCATAATGTGTCTTATTCCTTATTTTTGTTTCACTTTTGTGGATTTCAGGTCGTATTGAAAGAAAATCTGGTTCTTACTTTGTTCAGGGATGAGGTGATTCTTGCTGTCAGTTTTCTGTCATTGAAATACTTTCACTATTTTCAGTAGTTAATTGTTGTGACTTGAACATGCAGTATATACTTTTGCATGAGGATTATCAGCTATATGTCCTGCCACTGATTTTAGAATCAAAGAAGATGGCAAAGTCTGGTCGTACGAAGCAAAAAGAAGCAGATCTGGAGTATAGTGTAGCTAAGCAAGTTGAGAAAATGATAAGGTACATTTGGACGGACCATATATCAATCAATGGTTTCCTATATAATGTTCGTGTATCCGTATGGTGTCCTATGTCAATCCATGCATCATAGTAACCTGTGGAACTATGAAAGCACTCTTGTAATTGTCCTATACAAGTTCTCATTTGGATGGATCCCATGTTGTGATATCCATATTCATGTTTCAAATATGCGTACGTAGCTCTTAGTTCCCATCAAAAGAACTTTCTTTATGATTGACGATGTTTGTGGTACCATGTACATTGAATATATTAAAATGGTTACTTCATGCAGTGAAGTGCATGAGCAAGCATTACTCTCGTGTGATGCCATTCATCATGAGAGGAGAATATTGCTAAAGCAAGAGATTGGAAGAATGGCGCTTTTCTTCACTGATCAGCCCAGCTTGTTGGCTCCAAACATACAAGTACGTTTTCATTGCAGGATTCTATTAATGTGCTTTTTGAAACGGTATGCTAAACTGCATCTTTTTAAAATTTAAGCTAAAAATTTTGCACAATGATACACTCTAGTACTTGTTGATAATATTATGATGATTTGATGTATTCTACAGATGGTATTCTCTGCCTTGGCTTTTGCTCAATGTGAGGTCATCTGGTATTTCCAACATATTGGGATTGTGTCATCAAAATCAAAGACCACTCGAATGGTACCTGTTGACATAGTAAGCCATATTTTCCCGTATCTATTGAGATCCATCATGATCAGTCTTTTATATTTTAACCTGATAATGATTTGCTTGACTTTAACTTTTGCGATTCCATTTGCAGGACCCCAGTGATCCAACTATTGGGTTCTTATTAGATGGAATGGACCATCTATGCTGTTTAGTACGCAAGTACATTGCAGGTTAGTTTGAACTTTGTCTGCCATGCCATTTTTCTGAATAGAGTAAATGTGATAATTTCTATATTAAGAATTCTTCATGTATATATTTAATAATTTATTATCAATGGAGGAAATATGATAATTTCTGTATATACTTATATTACCGTATTAAGGTATTTCTTCTTGTGCAGCGATTCGAGGTTATGCATTATCATACCTTTCTTCTTGTGCTGTTAGAATCCGGTCTTTGTTGAATACCCCTGGGATGGTGGCTCTTGACTTAGATTCAAGCTTGAAAGGTCTTTTTCAGCAGATTGTTCAGCACCTTGAAAACATACCAAAACCACAGGGTGAAAATGTATCTGCCATTACATGTGATCTAACTGTAAGACATCTGCATACTATGCTCAATTATCTTTATAATTAATCTCTCCTGGTTTTTGCATGCCGAATAGATATTTCTTGTAGATTCTGATATATCCTTGCTTATGCTTATTTGGCACCTCACTTGGAGATAAAGTTTCCCATTTATTATTTCATCACTTTAATACACATCTAAGTGCTGAAATAGGTGTAGACTACTTGTTGGTTGGTATGAATTAAAGGACTGTAAGGACTATAAAAGTCTATTCACTTTTAGTCGTTTTTACTTTTATTTCTTAGCATATTCTAACTCATCCCTCATGGTATCGCTCTATTTAAATTATCATTTTGAATATTGTCCTCTTCACTCTAGTATCTTAGTTCTTAAATTATTTAGGTTTTTTATTTTCTTATACATTTTAAATGAGCGCTAATCTTGTGATTCCTAAGCAGGAATTCCGAAAGGATTGGTTATCAATATTGATGATAGTCACATCTTCCCGATCATCTATAAACATAAGACATTTGGAGAAAGCTACAGTTTCTACTGGGAAAGAAGGCTTATTATCGGAAGGAAATGCTGCATACAATTGGTCCAGGTGCTCCTTCTGACTTGGTTTTGGCCATTATGTGAATTTGTAGTCCATCATTGCAATTAGTTAATTACATCGACGCAGCTAAACATTCTTACGAGTTACTAATGTATGGAACAGTTGGAGAAAATGATAATTAAAACCTTATTGGTGATTACTAGTAGCTATTTCTAAGTGATTCCCTTGTTCTTGAGTGTTAGTCTTACGATGTATGAGTCTTCTTGGATAGTTAAAGAAAACGCGTGAAGATGTTTTTAACTTTTTTTATATTACATATAGGAGCCCGGGTAGCACAGTGTTTTACCTGAAATGTGAATTTGCTATTGCTCGAGAAGTTAAATAAGATTTAAAAGTTTCTCAGTAGATAGTTGACACTGGAAATATCTGTTAAGCAGTTCCTGAAGTAAATAATTGCTTTCAACTTCTAACATTTCTTGATAGATTAACACATGGGTGCACGTGCATTTGAATGTGTCAAAGTGACAATAATAACGTGTTTGTATTTTCTCAAATCAGATGTGTTGATGAACTCGAATCTCAATTATCAAAGCATGCGAGTATTAAGAAGTTGTATTTTTACCATCAGCACCTTACAGCAGTAAGTCTTGCTCTCTTGACCTGTAATTGGTTTGCCAAGCTCCTCTTTACTCTTTAGCATAGAGAATTACTTGATGCAATTAAAATTGTTGAATAGGTCTTCAGGAACACTATGTTTGGCCCAGAAGGGCGCCCACAGCATTGCTGTGCATGGCTTGGCATTGCAAGTAGTTTCCCAGAATGTGCTTCCCCCATTGTTCCAGAAGAGGTGATTCATAAATTCAATTTCCTCCACCTCCCCTTAAAAGTTTCTAGAAATATCTACGGTCACAACATACTATCATAAAAAATTCATTACTGAGTCTTCATTTGTTCAGACAAAATCAAGCATGTTATGATGATGTTACGATAGTATAGCTTAAGTTGTTTCAGCATGTACATGGATGCATTTGACTAGAAATGATCTGTTTACTGCAAGCAGGTAACTAAAATTGGCAGGGATGCTGTCCTTTATGTTGAATCTCTCATTGAATCAATAATGGGAGGACTCGAGGGATTAATCAACATACTTGATTCTGAAGGAGGATTCGGTGCCCTTGAGATCCAGGTAATCAATTTTATCTGATCTAATGTTGAAATACCAGGAAATAAGAAACAGTTGAATTGGTTATGTTTTACAAAACTAATTTTGTGAAAATTTTCAGCTTCTTCCAGAGCAGGCAGCGTATTATATGAATTATGCATCCAGAGTATCAAATCTTTCAGCTAAATCTCCGAAGGGAGCATCTGGTTTCCTTTTTCCTGGTCAGGAAAGTCATCCTGAAAATAATACTTCTATCAAAATGTAAGTCCGTAATCATCATAGTTTCATGCAAAAATGTTTTTCCTTTTTTCAGAGTCACCAATATTTTGACACAGCTAACAGTGCGTTTTCTTTCTCCTGGTAATGGCAGGTTAGAAGCTGCAGTGCAGAGACTGACCAATTTATGCTTGGTTTTGAACGATATGGAGCCAATATGTGTGCTAAACCATGTTTTTGTCTTAAGGGAGGTAAGGCATACTCTTTTTTCTTCAATCACAAGATTACGCGATTCCTGCAGTCCACTGAAGTGTACCAATTATTCTATTCACAGTACATGAGAGAATGCATCCTTGGGAACCTTAGGAGGAGATTTCTTTCGGCACTGAAAACTGATACTGATCTCCAACGGCCTTCTGTTCTTGAGTCACTTATTCGGCGACACATAAGCATAATCCATCTGGCAGAGCAGCATATTAGCATGGACCTAACTCAAGGTATTCGAGAAATTCTGCTCTCAGAGGCCTTCTCAGGACCCGTTTCTTCTTTGCATTTGTTTGAGAAGCCAGCAGAGCAACACACAGGATCAGCCACTGAGGCTGTTTGCAACTGGTACATTGAAAATATAATCAAGGATATATCTGGCGCTGGAATCCTTTTTGCTCCAATTCACAAATGCTTCAAGAGCACGAGGCCTGTTGGTGGATATTTTGCTGATTCAGTCACTGATATCAAAGAATTGAAGGCCTTTGTTCGGATTTTTGGTGGCTATGGAGTTGACAGGTTAGACAGAATGCTGAAAGAACACACTGCTGCCCTTTTGAATTGTATTGACACATCATTGAGATCGAACCGTGAAGTGCTAGAGGCAGTTGCTGGCAGCCTGCATTCTGGTGACCGAATGGAAAGAGACGCATCAATAAAGCAGATACTCGATATAGACACCGTGATTGGGTTTTGCGTTCAAGCTGGGCTGGCCTTGGCTTTTGACAGACTTCTAGCTGAAGCTTCTGGAGCTGTGCTCTTAGAAGGTGCGCCCTTGATACATTCGTTGTTGACTGGGATAGCTAAGCATATACCTGAAGAAATACCTGAAAAGATAGAAATCAGGAGATTGAGGGGTGTGGCAAACAACTTTGGTGTAGTTTACGATCATGATTCTCAATGGGTGAGATTTATCTTAGAAGAGGTTGGATGTGCAAACGATGGTTCATGGAGCTTCTTGCCTTATTTATTTGCCACCTTCATGACTTCTAATATTTGGAATACGACTGCCTTCAACGTGGACACAGGGGGATTCAACAACAATATCCACTGCTTGGCAAGGTGCTCTTGCATTTACTTTTACCATTAAGTAGAATTATATTTTACGCTAGATACTTCTGAATACAAGATGGGATTCTTATGTCCTTAAAGTTCGTAAAGGAAAATTATCCAAACCCATACCTAATCCACTAGTAAAGTTCAATTGGAAAATATCTGTTTATGTAGTTTCTTGGTTCTTCTGTGATCATTAATTTAAGAAATAATCGATCTTTTGCCAAAATGTATTAATGCCTATCATGGACAAATTTTGTTGGCAGGTGCATTACTGCTGTAATTGCAGGAAGTGAGTTTGTTAGACTGGAGCGTGAGCATCAACAAAGACAATCTCTCTCAAATGGACGTGCTGTCGATACAGGGGACACTGAAATGCAAAATCGTTCTTCAGCTGAGGCGAGCATAAAATCCACAATGCAGCTCTTCGTCAAATTCTCTGCAGGCATTATACTGGATTCATGGAATGAAACTAACCGGTAAGTTCATTTTTTCTCTTCTCACTTGTTTGTGATTTGAATGCACATAAAGACTGTCATGACAAGATTTCACTTGCTTGCTCATGGGTCATGTACATTGTCTATGATTCTCCTACTTAACCTGCGCAAGCTGCTAATGATTTCAACCTTCTTCACAGATCTCATCTTGTTGCACAGCTAATCTTCCTAGACCAACTTTGTGAGATCTCTCCTTATCTTCCAAGAAGCTCTCTGGAATCCCATGTTCCATACGCCATTCTTCGCTCGATATACAGCCAGTATTACGAAAACTCTCCATCGATGCCACTTGCATTACTTAGTGGTTCACCCCGCCATTCACCTGCTGCATCGCTCTCACATTCTTCTCCTGGAGTGCGACATCCTCACGGCGACTCCACTCAGTATGATTCAACTTATTTCAAGGGATCATCATCCCATGGCCAGGAGTATGATGCTGACAGCGGAAGCTTACGGAGCACAGAAAGCAGGCTGCGGAATGTTCGTCGTTCCGGGCCTTTAGATTACAGCTCAAGCCGTAGTAAACTCAAGTTTGTGGAAGGCTCAACTTCAGGGAGTACCGGCCCCAGCCCGCTACCGAGGTTCGCTGTCTCAAGATCCGGTCCAATATCCTACAAGTGAAAAAAACGAAGTGAACACGAGTTAAGGGGTAAAAGGGATGGTAATTTATCTACTCTGGAATTCTTTCAACGCTTCAGTTATTAGACAGAGAGAGGGGCTAGTTCATACAAATTTTGACAAATTGTATATCTTTATATATTTTGTTTCTGTATAAAAATTACCAATAATATTAAGACAGAAATCAAATTAAATCCTATGCAAGTCAATACTCGGCGTTGGGGCTTCTTTATTCACGGGAAATGATTTTCGCACAAAGAAACGAGAATGCGGGGTGAAAAAAAGGTGTGTAAAATTCACTTTTCTTATTCAACTAGACTAGAAAAAACCAAAACATGTTGGAAACATCTCTTTCATCTCCTTGGAACTCAGCTCTCCTCCAAAACCCTGTACACTACTCTATCTGAAACAAAAAGCGAAGACACGATTACGGCGAGCACATGGAGTGGACATCCCCAAGTCCGGGCGACCAGAGTCAACATTCGTCGTTATTTACTATGATTTCAATTTCTGTTTAGTTGAAGAAAAACAGAACCAAGCAACAAAGATTTGCATTGACATTATGGATAACAGCAGCTTCCACAAAGAGTAAACCTTGTAAACAATACATATTATTGACAAGATTTTGTATAAACAAGTGGAGGCACAAGATAATCGATGCCATAGCTGATTAACTTGGTAAATGCTGCAAATTCACTCCGACAGACTACCCACAGAGAGTCAGCGGAGGTGATGCCTGCAAGATGAAGAAAAATTATATGCGAATTAATCGAAATAACACCTAAACCTAAACAATTAAGCACTAAGAAGACTAGGCAACAACATTACCTGAGAGTTTCTTTTGTTCCACGTCTAATTTTGCAACGTATTGTGGGGAGCCCAAGGCGCTGGTGAGCCTCGTAGCGATGACAACCAGAGAAACCTACCAAAACATGACCAAATCGTCAGCTATGATCCTGAAAAACATGTGCGTGCGGCTATAAAATTCTGGTACAAACAAATTGGGTCCTGAACAGAGTCCAATGATCTGTAAGGAAGAAATAGAGAGAATAATAACCCTTCATAGCTTAGAATAGTGATAAGCACGTACCATAATAAACTCCATCGACCTCAAGCACATCAATCTGCATTAGCACGTCAAGTCAGACGAAAGCATATGATCCAGGAATTGAAAGCAGATACTTGCACTCTAAAAACGTATACACATTTACACATCAACACATATCCAAAAGTTATTCGCAGCAATTAAGCCGAATCTTTAATGCTCAAAGTCATCTAGCGAGAGATGATCGAAGCATCAACGTGTAATGACAACATACAAAAGCTTCAGCTACCTATGGCCTCATACCGCATGTTAACTTATCATTACATATTCATGTATCGTATTCTTTATAGAAAGCCTACTTGAGAATGCCTATATATTTCCAACAAAAAAAACCTGGAATATTAGTGTCCAAATTATATGTTCTATTTGGTTTTGTCCTACATAACTGTAATCCCTGAGTTTCTTGTCAAACAAAATAGCAGAAATAAGTGTAGTTCCTAAGAGAAATTGGAAAAGGAAGAAAGGCAATCTAAGACTGATAAATCATAGCAACAATATTCCACCAACGTGGACCAGAATCCTTCAAGTTAAGACAACTACCTTCATACTCCCTAATGTTTTAGTATGGTTTGGTTCCAACACCAGCTTCAAATTCGACAATAAGAACAAATTAGTCACAAAGATTTACTCTTTCGATGAACTGAAAACTTCCATTAATCAGCGTGAGGCACACTATACAATTGCTCACTCGCCCCATGTTATCCTCATTTTCATTCGTTGTTAACTATAAAATCCATACTTGATCGAGCGGAAACTTAAATAATAATCGTCTTTGCACATAATAATACTGATATCATCTCAACAAGTCCATTTTCTATGTCTAAGGACAAGCATTGCATTGCATACCACAATTAATTGAACACAGCCAGATATTTAAAATTTGAGAAAGGCGGGGTAACCATGGTACTCAAAAGTGAAAACTTCAAAATAAATCATATGCAAAGCAAATTATTTTCTCCTCACTTTCTAGGAAACCAAACAGAAAGTACAAAACCCAACATAGTAAATTTAAAAGTTTGGGGTATTTAGCAGTTCTTACAGGTACTTGAAGACCAATTTCTTGGATGCTATCCATGAGCTCTTGAACCTTGTTTGGATCGTTACTTCTGGTTCTCATCAATGGCCGCCTTATCTTATCCAGAGGAAGCTCCAGTATCACTGGCCCACCACCACCTCCACTGCTCCCCCCAGAACTCAAGGGAGTAGACCCTGAAAAATTAAATGTTAATCTTCATCAAAGTATCAGTTCAAAACAATTCATCGAAGTATTTTCTTTTGATCAAAACAGTAGCGGGGAAGGGGAGAATCGAACTCAGAACCTCGAGTGTAAGAGTGAATGCTTGTAAACAGCTAAGTTACTACAAGCCCCTAATTCCCATCAAAGTCAACATTTTTACAAGAGAAAGACTCAAATTAAGTGGCCAATTAGCAATAAAATCTATACTCTAATAAAACTAATAGAGGGTTTAATTTTGGTACCATTGGATGAAAGAGAAGCAGAAACAGTGAAGCTTCTCAAGCTGTTTGGAACTTGCATAACAAAGTGAGCCATTTTTTCTGCAATCTCTGCACCCTTTTGCAAATAAAGCCTCTATCTTTTTTCTGTGTATTTATATCTTCCACAAAAAATGAAAAGGGGTTGTGATAGAATAGTCCCTTGACTCTATCAGAGCCGTTGGATGAAAGTTTTATTGGTCTTTTTGGACGGTCCAGATGCAGCCCAATTTCCTATATGTTAAATTTTAATTAATTATTTACTTGAGAAATTCATTTTGTGGGTATTGCATTGCAGAGTGAGCTTAAAAACCTGAGTCTCGAAAGGCAGTGAAAATTCCAATGGCTACTGCTGCAGTCACCTCCTTCTCTCTGTTTAGGTACTTTTTAATTTATTGCTGTTCTTGTTTAAATCTGTAATTTTCGATCACTATGTTGGTTTAGGATGTATATTTTTTAGAATTTTTGGTTTTGAAATTTTGGAACAGGAATTGTGCAGCAACAACTGTGAGAGCTTTTGTGACAGTGAAAGCCTCGAACCCCAATTTCACAACTTCCCTTCTTCCTCTCCACTCTCGCAGGTTCTCTATCTCTCTCTCTCTCTCAATTGAAAATTTCTCAAATTTCTCAAATTTCATTGCGATATTCTCAGCTTTCACCGTAATCTTCACCTGGGTATCTGTTAATTTTTAATTTAAAAATTAAGGATGAGTGAAAGATGGCCCTTTGGATATTCTTTTGTATTTGTTTGAGGAGGTGCCACAAGCACAAGCCTTTTTGTAGAGTAAATTACTGTTGGGGTGTTGTTTGACATTGGTAAATTTTTCGCCTTTCAAGATGTTTTTTGGTCGAAAGTCTCATACTTTTATCTGATTCCGGTGCCAAATCTAATTGTCAGTTGTGTTCTTGTTTAGCTGCAAATGACCTACGCGGTGATCGGTTGTTGAAGAAGTTCTATAATCTTACTATATTAATTTGTTGTTCATTTGAAGCTGTTATGTATGTGTCATTTGAAACCAACTTCAATGTCTGTTTGCTTGTCCTTTGGTGACTTGAATATAAGTATATAACTACCTGTCCCGTATGTTTGTTAGATCCCTGTGCCGTGTTAGCGCTACAAACAACGAGGAGGCTGCTGCAAAAGTAGCTGCAGTGAATGCCGACACTGGAGCTCCAACAATGTATCATCCGATTCCTTCACCTAGTAAAACTGGTTTGATCTCACATTCAAGTTCATAGCATACCTTTTGAGTCTGGAACTTCCAATTGAACTTATTGAGTTTTAACCCGTCAAAACATGGGAAGTTGGTGCTAAATTGGAAGGAACTACTGGGGAAATTTTCTCCCAAGTGAGAAAGTGGCAATATTCTTATGTTTCATCTTCATTGATTTTATCTCATTTTTTTTCAAAATTTCATGGAAAAAAACTTATCACAATCATTACTGTCGAATTTGCAACGTTATTTTTTTTTAAACGTTATTTACTTTGCAGTTTGCACTGAAAATTTGAAATGGGTAAAAGCTGAATGGAAATTTAGTACGGTTAAAACAATGATTTCTTATCAAAGTTTTCCGCCATGTTTGCAGATTTGACAAGATCATAGCTAAGGAAATCCCATCAAGCATTGTATATGAGGATGATCTGGTCCTGGCATTCCGTGATATCAATCCGCAGGCTCCTGTTCACGTTTTAGTCATCCCAAAGTTCAGGGATGGGTTAACCGGCCTGGGAAAGGTAATCTCCGGCCTTTTTTTGCCATCGTACATGCCTTTTCTTTCATCATCAATCAATATTTGTTTTTACTAGTTACTTTTTTCCTGTTAAGACCCTATATTTTTCAAAGCATGTGTTATGCGTAGCACTTTTAAATGGTTCATAGTCTGCAGAGTGGAAACGCTTTCGTTTGATTTGCGCATTCTGTCATTGCAGGCTGAACCAAGGCACACGGAAATACTAGGCCAACTTCTCCATGCTGCGAAAATTGTGGCTGAGAGAGAAGGCATTCTTGACGGATTTCGGGTGGTTATCAACAATGGTGCAGAAGCATGTAAGTTTCCATCTCCATATCTCTGTGCCTTCCGTCCATGGTTGTGCAATGCTTAGTTGGTCGTTCAATCATTCATGGTCTCGCTCCCTCCAGGTCAATCCGTTTATCATCTCCACTTGCACGTCCTTGGCGGAAGACAGCTGAAATGGCCGCCTGGTTGAAGATCTGAAGCTGATGGCACACCCACAAATTTTAATCTTCATGTGATATGATGAACGTGTTGTGGGGAGTTCCTTACGCAGGATGTTAGAACACTTCGATGAAACGACCAGAAGAGATGAAACGACTAGAAGAGATAATAACCGGAGGCCTTTTACCAAACTCAGTTTGTGTATTGTTTGTTTGAGTCTTGATAATGTGACTGAACTGGAAACATGGTTCTCTTTTGTTTCAGTATATGAATGTTGCCACAAATGGCTGAGATCGCAACGTGTTTACGAATGCAAGGCAAGACAAAAGATGAAACAAATATGATTTTTATTATCTACCAATGTACAAATGAATTAAAGTTACAAGTAATTTAATTTAACTTCCAGCTGCTGATTCTTCATGACCACAACAGTATCTGCAAGTACAACAAATTGTATAAGGTTCCAGTATCGAAAACCCCCCATCTGTGAAAGAAAGAACTGCGTGTGTCATTCAGCCTTGCTATACCCCGCATAAAGCTGCAGCTTGGAACAAAGTAGCGACTGCTAATCACTCTTCCGACGATGCATAAGCTAATCCTTAACGGCAAATGGTCGATCCAAGGCTTTCTGATCTATATATGAAGATCCATATGACTGACAGAGTGAGTTCTCAGGTTAATATAGTCTCTCATTGATGAAAGTGGCATCATAGGCTAGTTATCATCCCGGTCTGGTTTGAGCAGGGACAAGAGCAGTCTCGCACATTTGAATCCCTCTTGACAAGTCGCCTTTCACGGTTGATTGTCAATTTGATAAAGGGGAGCTTCTGTGCGATCTGGCGCCAGATTTCATTCACTGTTCCATTTGGTTCTCCATATTCAAAATAATGCTTCACCTAAATCATGAAATTCAGATTAGTACGGAATAGTAATTTCCACTGGCATTACCTGTGCACTGTAATTACTTAATAGATGACAGTAATTTTGTACCATCTTCATACACCAAATTGCGGTCACATAACATGCACAAAAACTTCAATTGTAAAACTCTTATGCATCAACAACACTTTTCCACAAAGTAACCGAGAATTTCAGAGTGGCCAGAGAAAGGATTCAGAGTATGTAAGATGTCATGATTTTACCATGTAAAAGACCTTCCTAGGCACGAAAACTCAACTATTTTTTGCCCCCTTCTGTTTTTTGAAGTGAACAAAAGACAGAAATTGATGCAACCATTCCAGTTCAAAAAGTGAGGACCTAAGTACAGGTTTACATCTCAGACACACTCATATGTATGGTCTAACAGATGAGATGCAAATCCTGTATCAGTTTGCATTAGTTTCCCTATGTATGCTCATGTGTTTATATACCTTAGCTTCCTTACAATGCTGAAACAGAATGTATAAGTTACAAAAACAAAGAACAAGAATTGTAGCAGAATAATAAACAACGGAAAGAAAAGGCAAATCAAATCCCATAATACAAAGATTTTGGACTAACCTCGTTTAGCTCTGTCTGGTACTCCAGAATTCTCTCAGTGGGGATTTCTCTCAGCATTGAGACTAAGAATCCTGGCTTTAAAGCTGCATTGGATTCTACAAATATTGCTATCTTTCTGTAGTCTATAACATCTTCGAATGGAAGCTCAATGCTATCACTGATTATCACAGGCACACACAAACTAACTATAGAATCAAAAAGTCGACAGGCTGATGGAGTATCACCAGCCGGATTCAAACAGAACTTCGACGTATGCATCCCACGTGTAGCAGCCCGTCGACTCTCTCTGGATTGGGTTCCATGCTTTACTATAACATCCTCTTCATTTTCAAGTAATTGGAAAAGTAAATCACGTATCTTTCCGCCCTGCACAAACACGAAAAAAGCCCCAAAAGTCATACATTAGCTCAGGCAGGCAGATAACTGATCCTAATATCAAACATTTACCCCCATAACGTTCCTTGATTCATAATTTCATATTCAAATCCGTAATTCATAGACTTAGATGGCAAGCAGCAATCACACAATGCTTAATAAAAATGCAGCATTTCAAACATACCAACAAGATAGTTCATCATAATAACCAACAAAAATTATCAAGTTAAGAAATTTAATATGAAAAAGAAAATGTACGTCTTTTCGAAAGCGGTTTCCCATGAAGAACAACAGGGTGTTCCTTTTCTCGACGCTGATGTCGCCCGTGTAAGTGTTGATGCGGTGAGTGTAAGGCACGATCACGTCCTTCACAAGCGATCCTTGGTCCTCCTTCAACCGCCCAAAATCGCAAACAAGCAGTACACAATTTTTTACTTTGTCAATCACTTTGTACAGAGCATTGGGATCCGAAGCCATGATCACATGGTCTCGGCCATTGTTCCTCTTCCAGTACTCCTGCGATTCCAGCCACTCAATCAAGGCCACCTGATTCTCCTCGTCGCTGTACAACGGCTTCTCCGACCGGGAAGCCGGTCGCGCCGGGTTAACAATCAGGCTCAATGACGAGAAGAAGGGCACGTAGAACAAGTCTGCCTCTTCCGGATCCAATACCCTCTCAACGGGCGAACCGACCCGTTCCGATTCTGGTTTGAGCAGGTCCCGGAACAGGTACCGCTCACCCATGTGCTGGTGACCCGGGTAATTGAGCTTCGAAACGTCGTCGTCGGGCCGGCCACCGCGAGCCAGCGAATGATGCTCGATGACTCCGTAAGTGAACCGCTTTGGGAGATCGTATAGGTACACTTTAACGGGCTTTCCGGGTAAATTAAGCTGATTTTCCAGGGTAGCAAACACGTCGGAGGAGATCAAATTGGACGCGGAGGAGGATAAGGAGGGGAAGGCGTTCTCGAGCTTGGAAGTGGCGGCGGGAGTGAGGAAGGTGTTGAGGAAAGCGTATAGGACGAGGACACCGACGATGGTGGCGAGGGATTGCTTGAGGAGCGAGGATTTTCGCGCCATTGAGAGGAACCGGGTTAGGGTTTTGCGGCGGAGGGCATCGAGGGAGGTGGAAGAAGGGGCGGGGGGTTTGTTGGCTTTGCTGAATTGGAGTTCACTACTCATCATACCCGTTTTTTTGGGGGCTCGGTGTGCCATGCTAACGTGCGCCAGGGTGTGTACTGGGAGACAGGTTGGTTTCTCTGTGAAAAAAATAGAGTACCTAGAATTTGTTAATTGTTATCAGAATTGCATCCTTAAAATAGTGACGTAATTAATAACTTGTGGGAATATTTATTTTCATCATCGAATTCTTAGTGCATGTTTTATTTGTAATGTATACAATTGATGGAGGTTGATGGGTGAAAGAAAAGGGATTTAGAAAAAACACATTACTTTGATTTTGACATGAATATTTAATATTCGACATTCAATTTCTCTTGTCGGAACCATCAAGGGATGACCTAATGGTTGAGGACAAATTTAATTTAGGGCTTGAAATTTAATTTAGGGTTCGAACTCTAGATTAGGATTTGCGAAATTTAGCACTTGGGATTTTCCCGTTAAATTTGATTCCTTTGGAGGTAAAATTAAAATAAAATTTAATCCCATGTAAGTCAATACTCGACGCTGGAGCTTCTTTATTCAAGGGAAATGATTTTTGCACAAAAAAAACAAGAATGCGGAATGAAAAAAAGGTGTGCAAAATTCATTTTTCTTATTTAACTCGACCAGAAAAAACCAAAAATGTTGGAAACATCTCTTTCATCTCCTTGGAACTCAGCACTCCTCCAAAACCCTGTACGCTACTCTATCTGAAACAAAAAGCGGAGACACGATCGCGGCGAGCACACGGAGTGGACATCCCGAAGTCCGGGCGACCAGACTAAACATTCGTCGTTATTGACTATGATTTCATTTCTGTTTAGTTGAAGAAAAACAAAACCAAGCAACAAAGATTTGCATTGACACTATGGATAGCAGCAGCTTCCACAGAGAGTCAACCTTGTAAACACTACATATTATTGACAAGATTTTGTATAAACAAGTGGAGGCAAATGATACTCGATGCCATAGCTGATTAACTCGGTAAACGCTGCAAATTCACTCCGAAGGACTACCCACGGAGAGTCAGCGGAGGTGATGCCTATAAGATGAAGAGAAATTATATGTGAATTGGAAAGAACACCTCAAACTAAATAATTAAGCACTGATAAGACGAGGCAACAACATTACCTGAGAGTTTCTTTTGTTCCACGTCTAATTTTGCAATGTATTGTGGGGAGCCCAAGGCGCTGGTGAGCCTCGTAGCGATGACAACCAGAGAAACCTACCAAAACATGACCAAATCGTCAGCTATGATCCTGAAAAACTTGTGCGTGCGGCTATAGTATTCTGGTATAAAAAAAATTGGATCCTGAACGGAGTCCAGTGATTTGTAAGGAAGAATCATAGCTTAGAGAATAGTGAGAAGCACGTACCATAATAAACTCCATCAACCTCAAGCACATCAATCTGCATTAGCAAGTCAAGTCGGACAGAAAGCATACGATCCAGGAATTGAATGCAGATTTTGCAATAAACTTTGAAGTTTGACATGTTTTGACATTGCAATCATGAAGTCCATATTTTCACTCTGCGTAAAAAAGTATACACATTTAAACATCAAGGCATAACCATAATTTTTTCACAGCTTTTAAGCCGAATCTTTAATGCTCAAAAGTCATCTAGCGAGAGATGATCGAAGCATCAAGACGTGATAACGACATACAAAAGCTTAAGCTACCCATGACCTTATTCCACATGTAAACTTACCATTACATATTCAGATGCTGTATTCTTTATAGAACGCCTAGTATATTTCCAACGAAAAAACCTGGAAAATTAGTGTCCAAATTATATGTTCTATTAGGTTTTCTCCTACGAAATACTGTGATTCCTGAGTTTCTTGTCAAACAAAATAGCAGAAATAAATGTAGTTCCTAAGAGAAACTGGAAAGGAAGAAAGGCAATCTAAGACACATAAATCATAGCAACAATAGTCTACCAACCTGGACCAGAATCTTTCAAGTTAAGACAACAACCTTCGTACTCCCTATTGTTTTAGTATAGTTTGGTTCCAACACCAACTTCAGAGTTGATAACAGAAACAAATTAGTCAGTAAGGTTTACTCTTTCGAGAAACTGAAAACTTCACAATCATATTCTTTAGCCATATTTATTAACAAATAACAATAACAATGATATCCAACATAACAATCCTACATGACTATTAACATTTCTGCTTCATCCATCACATAAATCATCATGTTTCCCACATAAAATCACAATTCATAGCGTGTAACATATTAAAAAATTAACAATGCAC